TTGGTTACAAATATAAACAAGTATCTAAAGAAATTCTGAACTGATATTGTATCTTGTATGAAATACGTAATGTTATTTTTAGATGATTCTTAAGCTAGAACTATCCCATATACCTTATTAATGGACAAGAGAATTGTACTTTGCCTTTTATTGAAATTAATGGTATCTATTATTTCACAGAGAGACATCAGAGAATACAGAAACTGTACCCTGTGAGGAGATAGCAAAATCCCCAAAAACAGTAAAGAAGAAGAAGAAAAAGAAGATAAAGAAAAAAAAAGCCAGGTCAACATCTTCATCCTCATGTGAGTCCAAATCAAGTCACAGGATAAGGAAAAAGAAAGAGAAAGCCAGAAGTGAGTCCAGCTCCGAGTCAAAGTCAAGATCGGTAACACCAAGACGTAGAAATTACAGGTCTGCTTCTCATGGGAAAGAAAGTAGATATAGATCACAGTCAAGATACAGTTCTGAATCAAGATCAAGTTCTCAATCTAGATCAAGAAGTAGCAGGTCTAAATCAAAACCTCGAGAAAGAAGGAAAAGGAGATCTAAATCAGGGTCAAGGGATCAGTCATCAAGAAGGAGAAAAGTCAGATCAAGATCAAGATCAGGAAGCTGGGAGGCTAGTTCAAGATCAAAGGACAGAAGGAGTTACAGATCTAGATCCAGAAAGAACAAAAGATCAAGGTCAAGATCAAGATCAAGAAATAGAAAGTCAAGTACAAGAAAACGGTCTCAGTCTAGGGATAGGAGGAGGTAAGAATCATATACAGTCTTGTACCATTTAAAGTCCAAGATCCATTCACAGGAAAAGGAATCTAAGCAAATTGGACATTGTGTGAACAATATATAGTTAAAAACTAGACATTATATACACAGGTATGAATAACGTTTACTTGACCGGTTTCGTATGTATTGACGAAGAAAATATACTTCGTTTGTTGAATTGGACATTGTGTGAACAATATATAGTTAAAAACTGGTTTTTGTATGTATTGACTAGAAAATACTGGTTTTGCCACATACACAGTAATATTTCTTTAAGAAAATTAAACAGAGAAATACAACAGCAGACAAGAGATGCATGATGCATAGCATTGGATGCAACAGACCTTTATGTACATCAACATTGCATGAACTGATATTATGTACATTGCTGTAAAATATTACTGGTGTCTTTTTTTCTTTCTTTCTTTCTTTTCTTTCTGTAAAAGCGTGTCAGCCTGTATATTACAGGCTGACAAGTTAAGCCATGATGCTCTTCATATTCTCTTTTTCATGTGTTGTAGAGCTGTGTGTAGGATTTTTAAAAGAAAGAGTTGTAAAATACATCTTAATGTTGTTCAATCATTTTGATGATGAATTATAGGAATATAGAATAACATATATTAGACTAGACTTAGTTCACTGGATATAATTTCCAATTTCTTCCTGAATGGGGGTTTGAGTCTCAAAACATTATCCATATGTACAGCCCTGTGTTTTCTTCTTTTCTTCTTCTCTTCTTTCTTCATCTTCTTCTCTCTTTCTTCTCTTCTTCAATCATTTATTTCCTTGCAATGCACCAATATCTTATTTGAAAAAAATATTTTACATGTCAAACAAGGTCAAGAGGTAAACGAAGCAAACAAGAATCAGTTCTGAGAGAGGATAAACAGTTCTTTTAAGAGAGAGAAAGTTGTGTGTGTGTTGTGTGTATGTGTATGTGTGTGTGTGTGTGTGTGTGTGTGTGTGTGTGTGTGTGTGTGTGTGTGTGTGTGTGTGTGTGTGTGTGTGTGCAGGTGTATGCATATTTGCATGTTGTATAGTTTTACTTTATTCTAGTGTCGGATTTCATAATAGATTAAAAATCTCATCAAGTTATCAATTAGGAAGTATCAGTGACGTAAATAGAAGTTAGTTACAGAATTAAACATCCATTTTGATATTTTGCTTAATGATTATTCTAAAAATTCTAGTATATATTTTATGTCATACAGACATGAGAAATTGTTATCTGGGAACAAGAGTGTATTCCTAGAAGACCTGAAAGGCTTAGTCCGACCTGAAGAGGCGTTCTACATCAACGTACGAGGAGAAACTGACAATAAGACCTTTACCTCAACGCATTTTTCACAACTAGCCAGGTAGAGCTTAGCTATATTGTTTCTGTCATTGTTCAAGTATCTAGTTTTCTGACATTATCACTTTGAATATTTTGATACTTTGAAAATATATTGTTCTTGTATTGATTTTAATCTCTTGATTATTTTGTTAATGGGTATTTTGGATGATTTGAAATAAGGATTACTTTTCTTTGCAGTTACAAGATGAAAATGAGAGGCATACTTGGAGATTTAAAGCAAAATATTGGGAAACCAAAAAAGAGAGCTCTCAGATACTTCAGGAAAAGTGCACAACCATCATTATATGCAGATAGCACATTTATCAAAAGGTTACCAACATGCAACAGAGATGATGAAGACAAGGATGCTGGTTATATACCAGTTCAACTTACCTTTGAAGAAGCAAAGCTCATAAAGAAAGAAACCCAGCCATCACATGCAGATCCTCTAGGGATATATGACAGCAAAACACAGGAGTACTTGCATGGAATAGGTGGTCCAGATCAAGAAGAAAATACAATCCAAGATGCAGAATATGAGTACTGGCAAAATCAGGCTAAAGCTTTTAATGAAAGATTGGGCAAAGAACCTACCAATGTGTCTCTGTGGCTGGAATTTGTACATTTCCAGGACAAAGCTCATGTTCATCTGTTTTGCAATGAAGAAACAAGTGAAAAGAATGAGAAGAAGAAGAAGATGAATCAGAGAGCATTAGCTGAGAGGAAGATTTCTATTTTGGACACTGCCATAAAAAAGAATATTAAATCCACTGAATTGCAGTTCGAACGCCTTGACATTGGACAGCATATCTGGGATGATAAAAAATTGAAGCATGAATGGGGTACTTTCTTATTTAATTTTCCAAACAAGATAAAAGTTTGGCATCAGTACTTATCATTCTCACAGACCCATTTTACATCATTTAATTTATCATCAGTTGTCAAAACATTTGCAAAGTGTACAGAAAGATTACAGCAAATACAAAGTGGAACATTTTTAACACATGCAGCACCACCTAATATAGGAAAGTGCATGATAGATGTGGCTGTCCAATTGGCACATGTGTGGCGGCAAGCTGGGTTTATGGAAAGATCAATTGCTCTGTTTCAGGCACTTATATTTTTTATTTTTCCCCTGCTCATGCAAGAGATAAGAACATGACATTAGAGGCAAGACTGGCCTTTTTTGAGCCATTTTGGGATTCAAGAGCACCAAGGTATATTTCTTTAGTTTGTTCAGTTATAGTTAGCTTATTGTAGACATAGCTCAGTACATAATGAGTTAGATTTAGTAATGTATGAGCCACAGGAAATCATGTACTTTATCCACAGATTTGGGGAAGATGGATCTTGTGGGTGGGCACAAGTTGTGGAAAAAAAGCAGCAAGTAGAATTTCCAGAAGTTATTCTAGGTAAGCAAAAGTGCATTTATATTAACATGATCTGATAGTGTTATGCACTAAGGGAACTTGTATGCACCAAGAATGATTTTGAAATATCTAGTACTCACTGACAGTAATGTTGACCAGTCACTTTTATGTATTAACACAATTGTTTATTATTGCCTTTGTTGATCAATGCAGTGAAATGTGTTCTTACTAAAATCAGCAGGAACAAGTTTCAACTGCCAGTTAATTCAGTCTTTTATGTCCTAGATGTGTCCATGCTTCACTAGTAAAATAACTTTTGACAATTTCTTTCTTATCATAGGAGGAACACAAGACGAAGAGGATGAATTATTAGCAGGTGGCGGCAGTACCTCTAGACTGTGGTTAATGCTAGAAACCTCGAGGGAGAGACGACATTGGTTGCCATGGGAAGGTGACCCAGAAGAGTGTGAGGACCCAGAGAGGATGGTTTCATTTGAAGATTTGGAACCTCATATTTTTGGCCTAGAAGATCCAAAAGATCACTTTTACATGATACTGCAGTTTTTCAAATTTATTGGAGTACCAAATATAAACCAGTTTGTGCCATCAGCTCAGGAGAGAGACTTGGCAAAAAGCAAAATTCAAAATAGTGAGGTCAATGATATATTTCAGCCACTCACTCTCGAAAGTCTTCTTGATATCCATTTATTTGGTACTTGTTTACAATTTGAAAAGAATGTCAAGGCTGGTGAATTTTTTAAATTTTCTGCCATTGGACCATCATTAGGAACAATGCTATGCCAAGATTACTATAGATTTGTGTGTCAAGCTGTATTACAAGTATCTAATATGTTTCCACAACCACAGAGAACCAGTTTGATACTTTTATATATAAGAATCCTCGGGTTGCGCTATTCAGCTTTGAAGAGGAATATCAAAGAGAAGGAAAAGCTCAGGCAGTTTGGAAAAGATATAAAGAAGCAAGTAAAAAAGCTTGTGAAATCAGAAGAGTTTAGATCTTCTCTTGTGATTTATGAGGAATATGCTAAACTAGAAGAAGTTATGGAGCACTTTGATGATGCAGAAAATGTATATGTTATTGCACTTACAGCTGGAACAGCCACAGGTAGTGCACTAGACATTTCAAATCCAAATTTTAGTACTATTGTAAGTCTGTTTACTGCTTACATGAAACTTCAGATGGATAGAGAAATCAAAACAAGTAGTAACAGATTTATTAACAATATAATCTATTCTCTTTGCTCATTGGTCAATGATGGGAAATTCATAGCTGGAAATGGTGTCTCAGCTCCAGGTGGAAGCATCTTAAAAGCAAAAAGAAAGCTCTTTGAGATACAAGAATCATATACTAATACTTCATTTGAGGCATGCAAAATAGGTGAGAAAAGTGACATGGAAAGGCTACTTGCAAGTAAAGTTATTTTCTTTCTTAGTGTGATCCAGTTGCTTACTGTTGGATTCAAACCTGCATGCTTAATATTTGAAACAGTTATTGATAAAATTAATGGCATCTTTAAGGAACCAGTGGAAGTGAAACTAGAAGAAATTACTTTACCAGATGAACAAAAATCTATAAAAATGGCCAGCTGTAATCAGAATTCAAATAAAGAAAAGAATAGAAAAAAAATGCTTGAAACTCTCTATGAAGATTATCTCTGGTTAATTAATGTTTCTTCCAAGCTGGATAGCATCATCAGAGATGGAAAAATGGCACCTGCCATTCTAAGACCACTTCTTGCCGATGCTGTTAAAAGTGCCCCAGAGAACCCAAACTTCCTGGTACTACTCGCCCAGAATCAGGTAAGGACTCATGGACTTACCCTTAGTATCCCCCATCTTGTCTTTGCAGTTCTAAAACCTTTGAAAATGATAGGTATTAGATATTTTTATGCCAGAGGTAACCTAGAAAGTTTATTTCCAGAACTGGCGAGACCTGCTGGGTGGAATAAACAGTCATCCAAAGAAAATCCCTTCCATTTTGACTCTGGTCTCCAGGCTTCTCCCTCACCTTCATAAAACACTTGCAGATATTGCCAATACGGAGGAAGGTTAGTATTATTGGCAGATTTTTTTAATATAGCAGTTTTATTTTTTTCATTATACCCTCTTGAATACAAATACAAATGTGTGTGTATCACTTTTTTTCCCATTGTGTGGTGTGTGTGTGTGGTGTGGTGTGTGTGTGGTGTGTGTGTGTGTGTGTGTGTGTGTGTGTGTGTGTGTGTGGTATGTGTGTATGTGTGTGGTGTATTTATATTTGTGTGGGTTTTATATATATGTGTGTGTGTTATATATATATTATAGTAATATATATATATATAGATATATAGATATATAGATATACTAAGATAGACATATATGATAAAGAATATATATACTAAGTATATACAATATATTATATATATATAGAGGATATACGTATACAATAATATAGATATATATATATAATTAACTATAATAGTAATATCTAATATATAGTAAGATATGAATATGCATATAAAATATAATATAGTATAATATATATATATATATACTATTATACATATAGATATATAAATATACACACATAGTATTATATGTATATATATTATAGATATATTATAGTAAGTACTTATAATATATGATCATATATACACACACACACTAGATAATAATAATATATATAACTGTAATATATATACTCAATAATGTGGTTCATACCATATAATTTTAGTATGATATATATATCATATATATATTATATACTCACACATAATATATGGTAATACATATATATAATATATATATAATATATCATAATATATTATATAATTTGGATTAGCATACTATATATACAT